CTCTAACTCACATTTTCTCTCTCCCCCTCTTTCTTTCTTTCTGTCTTTCTTTCTCACTTCCTTTCTGTCTTCCTTTCATTCTCTCTCTCTCTCTCTCTTGGATAAATAACCCACCCAGGTTTTGAATGAAAAGACCACAATTTTAATCTCTGAGGACCAAAATCCTGGTCCCCCTAGACTCTTCTTTATTTATAATAATCAGAAATGAAATTATGCCACTGCAACCTCTATCTTATCCATCACACACAAGACGCCAGAGTTACAAGAAACTTCCTCTGAGCTAAGTATAACCGAAATCAAAAGTAAAAGTGAGTGAGTAATGTACCAAAGTGTGATTATGATGTGTATATTTGGCTATCTACAGAATAACACGGATAGCTCGAATTTGTCAAGACTGGCCTTAGTAGTTCGAGAGATCCTTCGTTCAAGGGATATCTTACAAAGATAAGGAAGAAAAAAAAAACAGGACCGACTGCAGGCACAGTTCGACGGATGCAGGTTTTCGAGTTTTCTGTGTTCTACTTATCCGTGTTATTCTGTATTTCTCTTAAATGTCTGTTCTGTGTCCTGTGTAAGCTTGCTGATCTATACCTCAGAAGCACTGATCGATGATTCATGCGGCAGTGTTGCTATCCCAACATATGAAAAGCGAGTATGTGATTCTCTGCTTGTCTGTATGTACTGTACTGCACAATCCACATGAGGTGAGTGGGTGGTTGGCCGGTGCTCTGATGTGGTTTGCTCCTTCTTTCCTCTCAAACATCTATCATCGTGATCTCTCCTTCTTTTTTATGTTTGTTACTCTCTTGTAACACCTCTTCCGCACATATGACCTTATTGTGTTGGAAGTGCCGTAAAACTGTGACAAAAAGCTAAAAAAAAACAAACCATGAGGTGAAATGAAGACAATCCAAGAGATACTGCACAAATAACGAATACACTAAAAGCTGAAGGTATTAGTAATTTATTTGACTAATTTCTAGATATTACAAAGGATATACAGTTTCCGTGCATGACGGATATCATATGAGAAAATGAAGTATGGAGAGAATGAATGATTTCAAAAGTGCAACGTACACATTACATGATTTTTTATTTTATAGTAGTACCCTGAATTTGTTGTGATGGACAAAAAACCCTTAAGTCAACCAGGTAGAAAAAAGCTTAACCAAGTCAGATTTAAAAAAATTAAACCAACTCCCAGAAGCCGAGAATATTTCTGTGTGTTCTAGGGTCTGCCTGGGTAACATAATAGATTGTGTAAAGCACATAGAGCTTGCTGTTGAGCAGGAATAGGCCATAAAAAAAGCTATTTATTATGATAACACCCACAGAACCATAAAATCCCCATCTCTTCAACTTAAGAAAATCCACCTCATCTAGTAAAGAGGAGCCACATTACAGGAAAACAAAAAATAATTTAAAAAAATTAGGGCTCTCATTTACGATGAATGATGACATCAATGCAATCATTTGTAAGTCATGAACGTGCTTGAAAAATGCAAGATTTTGGACTGAAATCCTTGAGACTTTAGAGAAAATAACGGCTCACCAGAGGAGCCCTCCAGGTTAGTTGTTTAACTGACAAATAAATAGCATTTGACAGAACACATTTAAAAGTCTGATTCAAACCTAAATTCTGTGCTTAGTAAACTGAATTACATTTTCATACTCCTACTTGAGGTCTTGCTCGACTTGCCACTTTCCCGAAGAGTGACATTTTAAGAGACAAATAATTTTGTCATCCAATTCTGTTCTTATATATATGAAGAATTATATGATGAATTAAAAATAAAAGTGAATAAAATGTTATTGCATATAGTAAAGAATGAAAGTGGGAAAGGAACATAAGGAACCAATTGGAAGAATATGACCAAATATCATCACCTAAAACGAATTATATATATATGCCGAACATTCAACATATCATCCATGAGATACATTAATATATATATATTCATATCTTTCTGTATTGAAAAAAGGTAACAAGACTGAAGTTCATAGCTCAGAATGTGCTTGGAATAGTTTGTTGGATTTCACACCACTTTCCACACCGTAAAACTATTGGGCAGGCATAACTTCTTGTTGAACAATTGCCTTCCAAGTGGACAAGTAGCAATTAAAATGCCCAAGACTACTAAAATTCAAGAATACCCCAATGAGGATTCGAAGCACAGTCACTTGTGCTGCAGTTTAACATAATGCCAACTGAGCTATCGGTGCGGTACGCCCAGTGAATAATAAATAACATATGCATCCAGGATTTAAAAAAAAAAAAAAAGCAGGTCTCATACTCAACGAGTCAACATAATCCAAAACGCTTGGAATTGTAGTATTAGTATAACTCTGCAGGGTAGCAGCCATGACAACAACAAAAATCACAGTATGCAGACAACTCAACATGAAAGAAAAAATTTCAGTGCAACAAAACAAAAAACACAAGATTTATTCATTTCTCCTTTTCTTCACGTCTCACAGGTGATATCTGACTCTCCAAGAAGAAAAAAAATTAAAGAAAAAGCTGATAATTAATTTTATTCGCTGCATCGTCAAACCAACAGTAAAAAAACAGCTCAAATCTAAATTAACATGATTCCATAAGATGGGACACTGCACACGTTAACTGTCACACCCAGCAGACTTGTACCAGAAAGAAAAAAGCAATAATCATGTACTCAAGTATATGCTCAGGCAAACACACTGGATACACAATAGCATTCACAAATAACGATACCCATGTACAGATATAAAGTGAACAAAACGCTCTGAAAGAAAAGTGTCAAATTATATTGCTTTTACTTGTAACCTGTGTATAAAAGTGTTTTTTAAATGAATTACTGGGACAGAAAAGAAGTGGGGAAAAGAAAAGGAAAAAAAAAAAAGAAGTGAATTTCCAATGGTGCCCTTGGGTGCTCACAAAAGCAAAGAGGAACTGATGGAACATTCACAGACAGGGAACACAACTGCACTACACACTGCTACACAAGGTCTCATTCCACCATATCCTGTCAAGCAAGCGGTGCAGTGTAAAAAAGCTACTAGATATTACAGCACGTTGCCATACAACAAAACAACATATTACATTGTATTTCTTTAGGACACTTTAAAAAAAAATAAAAAAATAAAGACTCGTTTTGAAAAGTGAGTTAACACAATGTAAAATAAATCTAGCACTACTGTCTCACTGAAGGCAAGACAGCTACACATTTTCCTGTCCGGAACCCCCCCACCCCAAAAAAAAAAGAAAATGATAACAGTAAAAGAACCAATAATAAATCCAAGGATTTTTATTGTGCACCATTCAGAGTTCTGGTTCAAATAGATCTGAGGTGGGCTCCATATGGGAAAATAGGTTTTAAAGTTTTTGTCAGCTACCCTTCTTTCTCAACAGACCTCCAAAGACAAGGAGCAGACACACATCTGTTTCCTCAGGAGTCACTAGCCATCAAATCTTCGGTTTGGAGGAAAACTTCTCATCAGCTGTTTCAAAAATAGACAACAGATTTCAGAAAGGGAAGGGTATTGTTATATATGAACAAGATAAAGATTTTTGTCTCTTTTTATAAAAATAAAGAAATAAACAAGAAACACAGATGAAAATGTTATTTTGATGAAAAATATTTTCATTCATTTTATTCAGGTATTTGGATGTTCTAAATAACAAGAACAGTTCACATTAGGGAATGAGAAAAACATTTAAAGAATTCATTTGATTATCAATTTGAGCAAGGTAGTCGGAGCTGTAACTATTTTCAAGAAAAACGTTAAATATGGCCTTAAAACTCATCTCTAAACCTCTTCACTTTTTCAAACAAAAATGTTTTGTCTTGGTCAAACAATTGGAAACCACAGACTCAGAAACTACACTCATTCCATCGATCAAAATATCATTTTCAATGTCAATAAATTTCATTTAATATGTCCCCACTTCAGTTGCTGTTAGGACAAAAGGAAAACATTATAACACAGATTATCATCATAAAGTAACGCACTACTTGAGACTAGATACAAAATCTGGACCCAAAAAACTACACCACAAAAAAGAAGTTATTACTACATCAGCTAAAATGAGATGAACATGGAAATACAATTTTAATTATGACAGAAAATCAAAGATATTTTTTTCTTGCAGAAGGCAGAAATACATCTTCAAAACTAGCTCACTTTTGAAAGGTATTAGTTTTAGTCCGAAATTCAACAATTATACACAGTGCATGGTCCTTAAAACAGAAGTAACTGCATTTGGACTAAAAGTTCTGAACTCTTTCTCTCCCAATCTTATATCGCAGAGTGAGCTCACTGCCAAACTTTCCAGCCCGTGGTAAATAAAAAACTTATTTATTAGTATAAGAATTCTACAGGCTAGGTTTTGCAGATACTCAGGCTCATACCAGATGATGGAATGATTATTCATCACATGGTCATCAATCATAGACCAGGTTTTGCCTTCAGAATTAACAGCCACTGCAAGTAACAGGGAAAATAGTAATATCCACTAGGATTTCCATTGTGTTAACCAAGTCTTCACAGGTAATAATTTTCAGAGCTTCTCCCTCTGTCTTCAACAGAAATGTAAATTCATTTTTTTTTGTGGTCATTTTTTGACGGTTGTGCAAGATTTAACCATTTATTTGATCTCTGAGGAGGATTGTCAGTATTACAAATTTACCACATCCCTTGGTCCATCGCTTTTAAGAACAAAAACTATCCAACATTTGCATATATAGGAATACTGAAAGCCACAGTCTTCTTGCTGATTCCATTACATGGAGAAACCATCTTGCACTAGGGATAAAAAAAACAACCAAACATTCATCTGACTATGGAAACAGTTTTATTTGGCATGAGACAAAGAACTGCGTCCTCTCACTAACTCTTCTGAGTGTACTCGGGCGGGTCTACCGAGGATCCTTCCCAGTTTGCTCCAGTGCTGGCAGCAGAAGAGTCTCCCCCTGCGGCCACCGATGCCCCCTGCTGCTGTTTCAGTTGGAGCATTTCTTCACTGGGTGTGTCTGTGAGACGAAAGTCATAAAACAAAGTGCACATTGAGAGTGAGGGAGAGTATGTATGTGGTGGCGCACGCTTTTTTGTGGTAGTGGGCACCAAATGAACAATGATTTGAGCCACAGTATACAATATAATTGTCTGTTTTGCAAGCAATCCACTTAAATCTGTCACTTTTTACACTAAAGACAAAAAACCCCCAACTAGCCTTAGCTGTGTTGTTCCTATAAAAGGAAGAATGAAAAGCAAGAGAATTGCAAGCCCTGACCATAGCATTAAACTGTATTTTGGTGATGTTGAGAGGTGCATCTTTGAAAGAGCTTTGGGAGTGTGTAAAACTAAAAAATTCTCCAAATGTGGACATAAAAGGATAGCTTATGACACTGATGATTATATTGAGGCTCTGGCAGGAAGGCAAATTCACTACACTTCAAGAGTCAAATTATACTCTGTTTATTCATAGTAGAAGCAGAATACTGCACGAGTGGAACTTAATTCATTTTTATTGTTTTTTTTTTTTTTGGGGGGGGGGGGGGGGGCAGAAACATAAAAATTTAGAATTCAAGAATATTCAAACTGCACCTAGCTGCTGCTTGTCTTTTGTCAACATATATGACTTTTACGACATCTAAGACAATGATGTCTTACTCGGATGAAGGTAGTTATTGTTGAGGGAAGTTATTATATCTTGTTAGCAAGATAACCACATGTTTTCGAAGAACAGAAAAGGATATTGGCAATTCACATAAGAAGTATGAGAAGCAGACCAAATTAGAGAACCCATTAACAAAAAACTGGTGAAGCAAATCAAAACGATACAGTTAGAGAGGGAAGAAGTAAGATGAAGAGAGGGCTAAACGTTGGTTAAATTCAGTTTCAGTTTGATTTATCACTTAACTATGCTCAAATAGATCAATTTGAAAACAGACCCTTGGATGAGTGTTAGCATAAATGAGAACCGTTTAAAAGAAAATGTAGTTTCAGAGAGCAGATGGCAGTGACTATATATGTGGGGATGAAAAAAGGTCCATATTTGACACATGGGGAATAAATCTAAGGGAGGGTAAAAAAAATCAACACATAATGAAACTTTCAGAAGTGCGAGTTCGCAGGAAAATCAGGAGTAACAGAAGACAAAATTCTTTCAAAGGATGTCTGAAGAGCTTTTAGTTTTGGTAAGAGTTTTACGGCACTTGCAACACAATAAGGTCACATAAGTGCTGAAGTTTAGAGGTGTTACAAGAGAGTAACAAACAGAAAAAAGAAGGAGGGGAGATAAAGACGATAGATGTTCGATAGGAGAGAAGAAGGAAAACCACACCAGAACACCCTCCAACCACCCACTCTGAAGAGCTTAAACCAATCAAATCAAGTGATATGCCAACACTGACAATTACTGCTAAACCAGCTGTAAGCACAACACTGTGAGATACTCGTGCCCTGAAAACAACAAAGTGTGAGCACAATCTAGATCTGGATTAGAGCTACAACAATTGCCTGACCAAAGAACAGCAAGACATGGCATTGCATAATTAATAGGTATAGCTTCTTCAATAGAGAAATCACCCTTAGAGCCAATATTCATGATGAAAGTAAGAATCGACAAATGGCATTTGAACAGCAATGCATATTACTACTCACACTCCTAGACTAACTTATGATTGCTCTTAATGATTATTAAATCAGAAAACTTCCAAGGGCAAAGAAGGCTCAACCACTGAAAATGAAAAGCTCATCGTTCTTCTTCCGTCTTAACTGTAACTTGAAAAATGGAACAAAAATAAGACTGACTTTTCACTACACTACTATTTCACAAGTGACAAGCATCAAAAGCTTTCTTAACAAGGAGGAATAAAGAGGTCAGACAGTTGCTTTCAACCAATGACGAAAAATCCCCTACACTCAATATATCATGCACCGACATTTACTGTGATATTTACAATACTGATAGTAGTACGTGAGCAAAAGAGAAGTTACCACAGAACCAAGGAGGAAAAAGTGGAAGAAATCAAAACTCAAAAGACCTCTCCAGGATACAAGTTTACAAAATCAATTCGCACTTGCTTTCAACTGGTCTTGCTCTGCCTCTGGTTTCTGACCCCTGCCCTGCAGTCACAATTGATCTGCAGACATTTCGTATTCAAATACTAGAGCAGGGAAAGCAAACACGGGTAATAAAATTTAAAAATCTAGAGATCTTAAAATAACTGAGGTCATAGGGGGCACAAATATAAATTGCAACCTCTGAAGAATCACAAATACAGTTCATTCATACTTTTTTCACACATTCCTTAGATATGCAACAGTATTCTTGCACACATTGAGATCAGAAAGCAACTCAATGAAGAGGCCAATTTGTCCCTGACATGAAATATGTAACATCATTCTAATGAACAGTTTAACTCTCCTGCTTCTAGCCCAAAAAGAAACTATACAGAAGAGAAAAAAATACAAATTCATTTATCAGAACAACTCCATTCTTTATACCTTGCATACAAGAAAACATTAGCTAGTAGTTCAACAAACAATTGAATTTCTCATATGATAATAACACAAACCCACACTCATGATCAGAACGTTGCACTGAATCTTCCAAAGTTGCAATTAGCTCTGGAAAATTTTGTCTGAGGCCAAATGTATTTAAAAGTAGATTGAAACGGAAAAAATACTCTTCTCTAAGCCTTAGGGGTCTAAACGAAAAGCTCATACCCAAGTCTTAAATATAATAAACCCTGACTCGTTCTTAAGTTCTTAAGTTTTACATTTTAAAATAAAAAAACCCTACTCATTCCCAAGTCATTGAATGAAAAAAAAAGACTAAACTCATTCTATACTAGAATATAAAGTAAAAAAACCCAACCCCTTCCCATGTCTTAAACAAAACTTGAAAAAAACTCAACTCATTCCAAAGTCTGAAACAAAAAAAGAATTATTAAAACTGGATTGGTAACTCTTAAATAATGATAAACTACTCTCAAGTCAAAAATTTTAAAATGAAAAAAAAAAAATCTCATTGTCAAATCTCACATAAAAAACCCAACTCATTCCAAGTTTGAAATCCCCTCTTCCTCCACTCACCCATTCCCATGTCTTCATCATAAAACAAACGAATTCCCAAGACTTCAATAATTTCTGCACTCTTCTACTTTTCTATGTTTTTCCATCCCTTCTCTCACAATAATAAATCATATCATTCATTCACAATCGATCCATATCTAAAGACACTTACCAGAGACAAAATTCTCTCTGATCTCCTGCGGGATCTTGTCCACATACCACTGGTGGCTGTACAAGGTGGCAAGGACACCGCCTGCGTTCTTACGCTGGACCTTCTCGTGGTACAGGATGGGCTTGCCCAGGAGGTCGGTCAGTCGGCCTCCGATGGCGTGAAGGACAGCCTCTGGGGCACAGGTGTCCCACTTCTTGCAGCCCTTGCTGGCGAACACGTAGGCGTGAACTTTGCCCTCAATCAGCAACAGAACCTACGAGCATAGGAAACAACATTTTCATCTTGCCAATTTGTTAGTGTGAGGTCAAATTCTGAGTTTGAATTAAAATATTTTTTTTTCTAAAGTAATTTCTTCTAATTTTGCCAGGGTGAGATAAAGTTAAAAGAGAACCACAAAATAAAAGTTCCTCTTCACAATTTGCAAGTGTGAGATCCTCCTTCTTTATTTCTTGAAACAGTACATGCTTTTTCAGACCCCCATAATGCTTGCTAGTTTGAGTAAAGAGAAGAACATTGACACAATTATGGCCATTAAGTGCTGGGAAAAAAGTAAAATGACAGACATGACAGAGGGAAAGAAAAGAAGTAGGAGTTACTAGTGGCCCCCTACAACCACTCACGATGTCAATCCCTTAAGTTGTCGTGAGGTAGATAAGATGAATATGCACAATAACTGTCACACTTGCCAAATTATAGCAATGATAATGGAAATAAACAAGAAGAGGACAGAGAAGATGATGAAGCTGGAGTACACACCAACCACCCTCAGTCCAAGAAGCGAGAGATAAAGTCTAATCGATACAAATACATTACGACAACTATAACACACACCTTGTGTCCGGCGCCACCGACCCTGACAATCTCTGAAGGCTCGCAGGAATTGACAGCCTCTGTGACGATCCAATCAGAGTGAGACCGTGTGGTTGTGATCAGGTTTTTGTCTGCGGGAGGCACCTGACGAGTGAAACCGAAAGATCCTGGAAATAGAAAGACAACATTTTGAGTAACTCATATCATTAGGTTTTGCTTGTTGTTTTTAAACTGAAAGAGATTTTAGGCATTATCCTTAAGATTAAAAGTTCACAGTAGAATGGTCAAAGCTACCACATTAACACATTTTAATCCATAATTTACCAATATTCAGCACCAAATCAGGACATGGGTTGAAAAAAAAAAGGCTGAAAAAAATATTTCCATATATGCTACAATAGATCAACAACAAAATTCCTCCTTTCACGTGTCGAACTTCAACTACTGCTCAGTGAAAAGAAAAAGATATTCCAGTAAGAATGACTAAAAAAGAAAAAAAGTAAAACCGAACACCAAACTCTTCAGATGTCTATAATCAATGCAAAAAAAAAAGGCTTTTAAAAAGCTCGATTAAAATGCTCAACACAAACAAACTTTCTTTTGACATTTTGGGCAAAGATCTTTTCAACTTTCATAGCAAATTTTCGGCACACACCTTTTTAATTTACATAAAACATTAAAGGCAATGACGCTTTGACTTTTCATATTCCATTTTGGGCATAGACGCTTTCAACTTTCATAGCACGTTTCAGGCAAAGACCTGTCTAAAAAGATTTTTCTCACGTGATCCAGCCTCTTGCATCTACAATAGTTACTCCACAAGATTATATATACAATGAGGAACATTTACCCAGCCCAATGAGGCCCCAGATACATCTCCCCATCTCGGCTTCCGGGCCGGCCTCATAGTTATACCAGGGCTGGTAGATGACCCCAGCCTTGGCCTCTCCGTTGACTGCGATGCCGATCAGGACAGTCACATGATCCAGAAGACCTGCGAGGTAGAAGAACAGTATTTATAGAGAATGATGGTTCCAAAAAGCTGCATAAGCTATCAATCATTAGTCATGCCTTTCTTCAGAATAATTCTTCTTTCAGCAACAAGTGCGATTAGCAGCAACAGTGAATGATTTTTTGTGTATGATGCATTCTTTAGTCAGAACTGGGTAAACTACAGGTGTATAGGTATTCGAAAGGATTGTGAAAAGATTGTGTGTTTGTGAGTGTGTATGTGTTTTTGTGACTGTGTGTGAGTATGTGTGTGTGTGTGTATGCGTATGTGTATTTGTATGTATGTGTGTGTGTCTGCGTATGTGTATGTGTGTGTGTGTGTGTGTGTGTGTGTGTGTGTGTGTGTGTGTGTGTGTGTTGGCATGTGAATATACTCATAAGTATTTACTTTGCTGCATCACATTTCTCTTTGTGAAGATTAAGAAAATGTCATTTAATCTTATCTTATGATGTCATCAGCTAGGACATTAACTTAGAGGGTAATGCTAATAAAACTAGACTGTAGTATGAAAAACACGTTAAACTGCAGGAAAGTACACAATAAATGTTAAATGTCGCAACACCAGATTTAGAGAGAGAGAAAAACAATCTAACATTTAAGACACAATTCAAGATTCTCTGACTAGACAAACTGAAAAAAGTGCTGATAAAGTGACCAATTTCAAACATGAAAAAATAACACAAACCTAAAAAGACAAAACAAAAAATAAACAAATAAACACCCTTACACATACAACCCCCCTTCCCCCCAACAAAACTTCTCCCATTCATTCACTTAATGTATCCCAGATGCAGTTCTCTCTCACCTTGCGTGAACTCAGCTGTTCCATCCAGTGGATCCACCCAGATCACAATCTGGAAAATAATTGAATACATTTTAAATGGACATTAAAATACAATTCTTCGGTAACAATACATGGATTCCTCATTATCTCTTTGAGGACAAAGAATTTGACAGGGGTTTTTTTCATGTAAAAAAAAGACAGACTCATAGCTGCCCTACTGGGGACAGGCAACGATTTGTTCTCAAAGCTTATAACTTTTCCTTATATAAGCATTATTGCATTAATTCTACTGTTTTTTATCCGTATATTTAAGCGTCAAGGCTTACAGCTATCCACCAGTATACTTAAAAAACATTTTGGAATTAAATTCAATCAAAAGTAAGACAAACTGAAGTTATAAAACACAGTCAAATCTGCTCTAATTATGCCATTTGTCCAAGACAATCACATGTACAAATGCCCACGTCCCACTTCCCCTCTTGCATTTTAAAAATATTATAGTCAAAACAATTTAAAGAAGCTAACGCTATGTTGGATCTGGTTTCAATGATTCATTTAACTTGCCTTAAGAAAGAAGCTACAAAACAATCAAACCAACTGTTCAGCGAAAGACTCTTTTGTTTAGTTTTAGTAGAGGTTTTACGGCGCTCGCAACTGCATAAGGTCATATGAGCGCCAGAAGATCAGAGGTGTTACAAGAGAGTAACAAACATAAAAAAGAAGAAGGG